TTAACTTATGCTGATTTTAGCCAATTTCTCTATGTCATTTGTCGCCTAAATTTTTTTTACATACACTCTCACTAGTTATTCAAAACGCAAATGCCATGATGAGCACATTACCGCAACGTTGTTCTGTCATATGGGCTGCTATGTAGGAGTAGTACTGCGTACAATTCGTTTCTTGGCGTTATTGGTCCGCTGTCCCCCATTGTCCTTTGCTGCTGTTGCTGATTTTATCATTGCCGAAGACTTAACCGGGCCACATCAGCAGAGTTGCCCAGATGCATGATGACTAATGTCTGGAAATGGCCTCAAATCAAAATAAAGTTACGATCATCGCTGTACAAAAGATCATGTTCCTCGTCGCAAGCAGGTCTACCTCCGGGTTTGCATGCCCTTCGACGTCTCTGTGGCCGTAACAAAAGTCATCATGAGCAATTAGTGGAAAACATTTCCGATTTACTATATTTTGGTTTGCATTAATTACAGCTGTAATAAATTAATACTGCCTTAGAGAACAAAGATAGTCCCTGGCTATGCGACAGTAATAGTACACACCAAAATGTTGGAGAATGAAAGTTCATTCACAACCTGCTTTGTACGGACTTCTACTTTGGACCATCAAAACGTTGGAGGGCACAGAAAACCCTAATGACTAAACCTATAAATGCCTCTTTGAGTTACTAGTCGACATCTCCACGGCCTGTGGGAGAATTCCATAAAAAGGATCTCGCAACATGTCCACTTTCTTTGCGAACCGTTTTGTCAAACCAAGCAAGGGCTGACATCTAAGAGATTCTCAGACTGCTGGTCATCGGCACCAGCTTTTCACGAGCCACTGGTACAGTAAGGGATTGTGCATCATATCCTAGACCAGGCTTCGAATGTTTCCGCTTCTACCTTATAAATTTACGTGTTCTCTGAGAAGGAAGGCCGGTCGTCGCGCGTTCTATTCAGTCTAGAACGACTTCCTGGGAAACAAACTGTGAGAGGTATGGAACAAGGAATTTTGCGAATCTCACGACGCGACCACATCCCCAACACGGTGATCAGGCAAAAGTCAGGAATGAAGGGCGTCATCATCGAAAGCAAAAGGGGTAACAACGGGGCTTGGCTCGGTTCATTGATGGTAGCGGTCAGCCATAATTACAGACCGAATCAGGCCGCTTGGTCGTCCATCACGACGGTAGGAAGAGTATTTCATACCGGGAAAGGTCACTCTTAAAAAGAGAACCTTAAAAACCGATTGTGTTACGGGCGGTGCGATTCATGTGTGATTGCCGGCAGGTTTGAGTGATCCAATTGACCCTTTAAGTAGATTTTTAACAAAATTGCTTCTTACGGAAGAGCATTGCTTCACAGGTTCGTTCAGTGAGTGCTTACCCTTTCTAACACTTGAATGGAATGATATTCCACCTTTTAATTATGAATCAGTTTGAACACTACTAGAAGATGAGGAATTGAATCATAAAGGAAGAAGGTGACTGTCAATTCAGCAGGAAACGGAAAATTCAAATTTCACAGTTTATTACTCTGTTGCAATAAATATCAATTTTGATGTTACCAGCTGCCAGAGCGCACCAAAATATGTAAAGAGATTTGCTCAAAATGTCTATTCCAAACACAGATGAATCAGTAGATGCGCCATATATATGAAGTCCGTCGGTTTCTTTTTGTCACTGCCGAAACAGGGCAGATGTCGACCTGGAGGATAGCATGTAACATGCAAGAACAAAGTAGAGGCAGATCTGCTTTTGCTATGAATATTTGCTTCAGAAATGCAGTGACTGGTGCCTTATAGGAAAAGTGTTGAAAATATTCCCACGTTTCACTTGTCAAGGTGATAATCCCGACAAACATATAACAAGTTTATTGAAGTTTACACGCAAAAGTGATTTCTGTCTGTGGTATTCATCGTTGATTTCATAAAACTTAATACCAATTCAGAGTGATTTGTTTTGTTTCAAAAATTGACCGGTTCTACCAATAATTCCAACTTCCTGTGAGTACTATTTATTTCCGCATTCAAGAGAATTCTGTTGAAGTAAAACTGAAGCCTCCAGCTTTATTTTTCTACCCTGATGGTCTCAGCGCCTGATGAATAAAGAAATATATAATCTTGTAGATATCTCGTTTTGAATATGCTACTTCTCTTTGCAGCAGTCAAATATGAATTTTAAATATGCGCAGTGAATGGTTAACAAAAATTAATGCTGAGAAAGACATCAGTGGGTTGTAGTACTGGATATGGTGAATCCTGTCCTTGTTGTAATCCAGAGCCGAAGCATGTAAGTACAGTTGTTGTAAGGGCTAGTGGATTTGCTTAGCGACTCCAGCATGATATGGAATCCGCAGCTTTTGCGATCAACCCCTTTTAGAGGTTATTTTTTTCACACAATCCCTGAATAAAATCACAACATAACCGTGCTTTCTAGCATGAATGCAAACGTCTTGACTACTAAGTAAATGCACAGCAATAAAATTATAATAAACTATTTGAAATTGCCATAGTCCTATGATTAGACGACACATACGTGTATGAGATTAAAGTTTGGTCCTTTCCTGTCTTTCCAGCATCTTAAGTAGGATCTGACAACTGAAGTGGCAAACTTGGTGTCCTACATGCAGTCGTAATCTCTGGCTTTTCGACACTCTTTCAATTAACCCTTCCACGTGTAGAATAGCCCCATCGTAATGTTGTTGTCGTATTCCTTGTG